TAAAACCCTTTCAGCTGAGTTTCCCATTTCCTTGCTATCATCTCCAATTATAGAAACTGGTGATGAACTATTCATTACATTTACTGGCACCAGCCATCCTAGTTTCATGGTAATCAAGTTGAAACTACACAATAAAGTACATACATTGTATGACAAATATCGCTTGATAACTTGGAAATCAAGAATTGCCATTTTCTTTCAGTCAGTGATCCTACAATCAGTGACTGTCCAACATTGCTAATTGTTGGATTTCTTCCCAGCCACATTGATTTGGAGGCCTTTGGCAGCAGTTTCAATGGGTAATTATAGATGTAATTTGCCTTCTTATCCACCACTTCAGGTGTTTTCTCCTCATTTTCAGGGCTAGAACGGGACAAAACAGTGTTTCCGCTCCTCATCTGCCTCAAATAACTCCTCATTAGTAAGATAGGACACAGCTGGTCAATATATACTATGCACTTACATGCACACTCAACTGCTGAAATTCATACATCAACAGACTGACTGATCAGAACATAAGATAGGGTCCTGTCCGGCTGGAGCCAAAAGGTTTCCCTACTGCTTGCACATACTAAAGTCACACTCAGTTTCCACTTTGGTACATTCTATCCATCACTGTCTTATTATAGCCCCGCTTTTGTTACATGTTGGCCTTCCCTATTTGCTGATGTGCAAAACTGCGTGTAAACTAATGTCGACTTTAACCATTCCTCATATCCTAAATGAAGGATTATACATCACATCTACAGGGAGCAATTTTTTGTGAACAACCTTTTGATCTCTATTGAGTTGCAAGGTATACCAATATGACGTAAGAAACTTGTTGTCTTATTAAGTTTGATTGGAATTTGCAAATTCAGTGGCATACATTTGAATCAGTGTCACTCATTAACGCAAACCATCAGGATGTGGGTGGTAGGATGAAGCAGCTTCATTACAGCAACACTATACAATTTGCAGAATAGTTGGATCCCTGATTTATGTGATCCTCTTCTGGAGCTACAAACTGGGCTATCAGTTGTGGACTGTGTGTATATACTAACCAGTGATAAGTCTTGGCCCACTTCCTGAAAGTAGTCAATACCCACGAATATGTACAAGTGATCTCACTCCATTTCCGGGACCAGCAGTATCTAATGCTATTCTCTGTAGAGGAGAACCAGCATTAGAATTATTTATTGGTGTTTACCCTGTTTAGGCCAGTTTTTTTTCTTGGTGGCACAAACCATACAGTATTCACACCAACACTGAATGTTTAGATTCAAATGTGGCATGAAGAACCACAAATGAATGTTAGCAAAAATGCAAGTAACCTTTAGTACCCTTCTGTTTGTATGTTATGCAATGACTGGATAATGGTTTGCTTCAAAGTGAGAAAACTGTAGACATCTTGTTTTGTCACAGATTGAAACCTATCTTGCACCATTGCTATTGTAACATGAAGATTCCTTTTCTACCCACAATAAACATGACTGACGAATGAAACTTCCATGCTTATGAACACACATTTTACTAGTGTAAATTTCAAGCATCTAAAAAGTGACAGATGTGTCACACAGGCTAAATGGTGTGATGCAAAACTCATAAAAAGCATCTTTTGTACTGAAAACAATCTTAGTTGCAATCTTATTCAGCTTGAAGTGACAGTACCTGGATGCCAGATCTAACATTTTGAACCAATGGGCTCCTTCCAGAGCATTCAGACATTCATCTCTTTGGAAAGCATTAATGTGAGTTATCATCACATGTCCAAAATCAATGCAGAACCCACCCTGACCATCAGTACTGGAGAAAACCAAGGTCTCTCTGAAGGCTGTGACCTCATCCATTAACATTCACTGTACTTCAGCATTGATTACATACCTAGCACTCTGGGGAAGCTTGCATAGCGGTTGTTTAATTATACATGCATCACCTATATCTCTATGAAGCTGTGTGACTGTTGTTTGACCAAATCAGCCATTTAGGCACACAAATACATCTATGTATTCAATCAACAAGTCACTGAGTTGCTGTTGCTGCAATGACTCTAGATTTTTAGCAAAATCCTCAACTAATGACCTTAGATGAACAGGTACATAGAGGCATATTTGCTTTTGAACATGGTGTAATAGGTGCCACCTTAGCATTACCTCTGTCATTGGATACTTCCACTTTGCTTACCATGCTTATGATCATTCAAATATACAAGTGGATAGCTAATCACCCATATTTACAAAGCAACATCAGGACTTCATCTCTGTCAGGGTTTTAAGTATGTAGGTTGGGCTGGGATTCTTCTACAATAGGTTAATGTGACTTGTTGGTAATAAATTCGAACAATAAACACAATCCACCTGTTTTAAAATAATACATTCAAAACAAGTTAAACATATGTACAGAAATTCTTTACCCTAAAGGATATCACAGTTGTATCTAAAACTCTAAATCATTCTCTTTTTTGTCAAAAGCCCACTTAGACTGATTCAGTTACTTTAGAATCCAATCGACAAGACGAACTATTTTTCTCTACTTTTATCACAATAGTATGGGTGAATAATTCACTTACACTACTCAGTGAATTACCACAACTGTATCCTGAACTTCATATAATTGTCTCCTTTGTCCACACAGATTGGTTAAATTACTTTATAACACCATTTGACAAGACAACGTATTTTCCTTATCTCTATTGTTGCGTCAGCGAGTCACATGACTACTATGACGCAACGCTTCTAGAACTATCATGTACTTTGGCGAATGTTCAAGTTCTTACTAGATATAGGGTAGGCGGATATATATAAGAGGGGACAACGTGACGCGGGAAGAGATAGATAGTGAGTAATTGATCTGCGGTCGGAGTATTATTGACGTTCGTTGCTATAGCGTTTGTTTAGCGCGATTGTTGAAGTTGAGTGTATCGATTAAGTTATATTCGGAAAGAATAAACCAGTTTTATTAAGTAAAGGCTTGTGTCGCTTAAGTTTCGTCGGTACGAAGTTACGGAAAATCAATTAAAAAAACGGAGATGTAACACTATACTAACTGTGAAACTCACTTTAACATATTGACTGTTATGGCTAATCAATTACACGCTGGCTAACTTCACGTTTCCTAACTTTTTTTGACTGAACTTTACTTCCACTTCATTTAATTTACTCTAGCCTGGTCACCTATATATATATATATAACTTGTTCACTGAGGCCTCGAACTTTATAAACTACGCGAGCATGTAATGTAATATATATAATGATTTACCACAGCTCTATCCTGAATTTCAAATAATTGTCTCATTTTCGTCAAAGTTCACACAATCGGTTTTAATTACTGTAGAATACCCTTAGACAAGACAAATTATTCTCCTTATATTTATCAAACTGTGAAATTCACTTACACGCTGGCTAATTTCACGTTTTCTGACCTTTTTCTGACTGAACTTTACTTCCACTTTACTTAATTTGCTCTAGCTTAGACACCTATATATGTATATAAATACATCTATTTTGTTCACTGAGGCCTCGAACTTTCTATAAGCTACGCGAGCGACGACATAAAGTAATAATACTCACTTGGTGAGAAAAATACCGAAAGTTTCAGTAACACTACTACCACAATTGAACCATACACAAAATGTACGACTCTTATACCGAGTTATAGAACCAAACTTGTCATGATTATCGCCTTTAAGTAGCTACTTTTAACTATCTTGTTATGAAAAGTGAATAAACATTAAATGTTAAGTCACAAAATTAACTAAATAATAATGCTTGCTCTAAACAAGCTTGTATATCTGACAGTCTCATATTGGACAGATGACTATCCAAGCTAATACTATCTGCTTCATGGACAAGAAACAGTTTATTTTATGCATGGAATCTATAATTGTATTACATGACACTGACACTTTAAACTTTGTTCAGATTAAATCATAGGATACTGCTGATCCTTGGCTTGATCAGGTTGGCATTGGATAATTTTTTTACAGAACAGTATGCCACTCACTGAACAGGCAAAACTAATGGATAAGCTCTGCAGTACACCCATCCAAAGGATGCTGATTCCAGATATTAGATCAAAAACAACTCTCCTCTATTGTCTAATTTATCACCATCTGTCAGAACAGAGTTTGTTTCCATTAGCCATAGAGATAGTCTCACGAAAGGACTTGAAAGATCATGAGTCACGAGAGCTCTCGAAGATCCTGTGTTAACAAGGAATTCAACCTCTCGCTCTTGTCCTTTCATTGGCATATACACACTCCACTTGTGAAAGCTGAGCTGACAATTGAATTATTCAGTGCAAAATGAGAAATTCAGTACCTCCTCAAGTTGGTGGCTAAAACCAACTTGGGCTTCATTAGTTTTCTGGAGCATTTGCTGCAGCATCCACCACTTGTTGCTGGTTATCCTGGACTTGCTAATCAGAAAGCTGGTACAGATAACCCCGCCTAGGCTTTGTTGATCAGTATTTTCTGTGATGTGTATCCAATGAGCAGACCTTGTGTGGAGATGTACCCCATAACCTGGAAAGCTCTGCCCACTCAGTGCATGGTAATCACTGAGGCTGCAGCACAGTGCTGGGTTGTGTTGGTGGCTAGTTAACCCTCGTCCAGACTAGTCTGGTAGGTCGGTCCATCTGAAAGGTAACCACAACAGCTGTTTCTGTAGGCTTTGTTTCCTATCTAATGATCTCAGTATTCCAGCATACCGTCGTTTTCAGTATGATTAGTTATATTTATATAACCCTTAAAATATAATGAATTGCTTTTGGTGGGGTTATCTGATTACTTTTTAAAAATATTATGCATCAAAAAAGTGTGTTTTGGGACATTATGAGCTGTCTTTTATTGTTTTTGTGGTAATCTAAGGACACATTTTACTAGTAAAGAAAATTACAAAGTTTGGCGTCAATACACTGTTAATGTTAAGCCCAAAGGCGTCTTAGTTAGGTATGCGACTTGTTAGATGACGTATTCCGTGGAATAGTTCCCGGTAAGTATTTATGACTACACTCTAGAGTCGTGAGTATAAGTTCTGCAAGCTGGAGATGGTTTTCACTTCGAAATATTACTGTTTTTACAGAACATGTAGTGTGTCACCCATGAAATTGTTAGTTAAAACTAATTAGGAGTTTTAATTAAAAAATGGAAGTAAAAGGAAGCTGAGTTTTAGTTTTACAAGTTGATTTGCTTAACGTAACTTGAGCTTTAACTCTAATTTAAAGGAGGCCTTAAAAATTAAGTTAATTAGAACTTTCATTCATAATCTTATTGTATGCACTATATTATTATTGATACTTTGTTATTGATAAGAGTAATAAATATATATATTCTTAGATATTACTTTTGACTTTAGTTGTTGTACTGTTCATACTAGTAATAGGTCCCATGTTGTTCCAAAACGTTATGTTTTAAGTAACATTCTACAGTGACAATAGTCTTTCGATTCGAAACTTCATAGTTCATTATGAATGTGATAATTTCATTCGTGGATTAACTAACTATACATGTTTTTATTATAAGTTAAATGTAATTATAAGTAATATAATGAAAATCAAACATATTTTGGAAGTGTTGAACTCTTTTCATAACGAAATAAAGAATACGTTATAGTTAAGAACTGCAACATGGATATGCTTTGTTATATTTAAAATTATAGCTATTGTTATAAAGTGGATGAAATAGAAGATGAGTAACTATTTTTAATCTTATTTTTGCAGTGAATTTAATATAGAGTCAGAAGTACAGTTAATAAAATACCAAACTTTGTTTTAAATCATATCAATGAAAATATTCTTTTGGATGTCAGAATAGTACTTCATACTCAAATGTTAAATTTGGCTTGTAATTTATATGTGGTTATAAAAGTGGGGTGTTTCGTTCATGTATTTTTTGTCTGTTAACACAAATTGAGAGATTAGGGTGCAAATACACTTGGTTTTTGTATAATTTTAAAAATTATAATTTCACTACACATTGTGTGCTCAGCAGTTAATTATTGTTCATTTATTGTAGCATCTTCAGGTGTTATATGGAAATATGAACTGTTTAAAAAATATAGTTTTAAATGTTTGTTGTTGCCGCTGTATGCAATAAAGGTTAAATAAATTACTTTTGGACTTTCCTGGAAAGTCCAAAAATAATCTCTCTCTCTCTCTCTCTCTCTCTATATATATATATATGTATATATATATATATATAATTATACACACCCCCAGTAGCACAGTGGTACATCTGCGGACTTGTACTGCTAAAAACCGGGTTTCAATACAGATAGCCCTTTGTGTAACTTTGTGCTTAATAACAAACAACAACAATATAACTATACAGGTTATGATACCACATGTATATTCAGCATATCACTTGAAACCAGCTAATATTACTGCAGAATTATTACAACTTGATCAGGATTCATTGTTGTGTAACAAATAAAATATTTAGTGTTCAAAGTGAGAGTGACTTAATCTTCTGTTTCTCAGCTTCTGTAGGCTGAAATACCGAAAAACTAGTTATAAAGAGTTTGGTTTAATTTTTATCATAGGTATAAATCTGTTTCTGTATTATGATGAATAATTGTTATTCCTGATCTAATGGTATCACTATGTAACACACGTAGTACAACAATAACATCTGTTAATATTTTTCTCCTTAGTCACCATGTTAATTTTTTTTACTCTGTTCCAGAATGCAAGTAAATATGGAATTGAAGCTGCCAATTAATATCAAACATCTAAGTGGATGAAATGTTAATTTTGATGAAAAAAGTATACTGTTCAACTAGAAAATGCTTAAACAGACTAAACTAATGAATACCAACAAAAATATTGGACGAGTAACGCCGATCATGAGGAGGAGTTGCTTTCCAGGAGCATCTTCATCTCTGGACTCTGCAGATTATTATCAACACGTTGATACAGCCTGTAGTGGTAGTTCATTACCTGCTTGTCTGTGCTTGCATTGTTTAAGTACTTCAAATTCATCACAACATCTAAGTGAGATGGTACAGAATTCAGGAGGATCATCTGTCTTCTGTTGCCAGAGGATGAGTGGTAATTGTGTTTCATTACCTGAAGTTTCTGAATTTAATGTTTCACTAGCAGCTGGAGTAAGGCCAACTTTGTCAGCATTATCATCATCATATTCAAAAGAATCAGAATTAGAAATTCATGTTAATAACCTAGACCCAAGCATTGACATAAGAGAAATGAGAAAAATTCTTCTTTCAGTTTTTCAAGAGTATACTAAGGTGAGATATGTTTTAAGAATATACGTATTACATTGCTGTATTCCTCCACTCTATGCTAACATGTAATCTTGAAGATTAAAATGTGTAACTTTACTACTGGTGCATCTAATAACTGTTTCATGATTTCAGAATATCATAACTGCTATTTATAATTTATTAAATAAGCACTTGGTAAAATAATTTCTATCATGCCCTTATTTGAAACTCATATTCAAGTGAAGTTATAGTCTGTTAGTTGGGTTATCTTTGAAATTATTGGGTCAGTAGAGCTGATGTTTTTAGTAATTTCTTCAAAGAGCTGTAACAGTTTCAAACATATCTCTAGTAGGGACCATTTGTTATTGATTGGGTTAGAGATGTACTTGCTTGTGGCATAGAGGCATATTGCTATTTTATTTATTTTTTGTTCTAAAGCTTTTTAGCAAGGTAGTATGTTGAATTCCACCTTGTACAAGTTTCTTTTAAGGCATATTTAGGTAGTTTTGTATAGCTATTAATTTCTAAAATTCCAGAGATGAGTAGTTAAAATGTGTAACAATTTACCTACTGATTGTTATGAGACCAACTATATATAGTTTGCTGGTATTCAAGAACATTCGTGATCACAAACTCTAATGTGTGGAGGACACATGATTCATTTGCCAGTCTAGCATTATTAGAAACTTTCACAATATTTGTCTCATTATCTCTTATGAGGAAGTGAATATATATATATATATATATATTTCAATTTCCCATTTAATCATTAGATCTTCCAGCCTTTATCCTATTGCATTATCAGTTTAAGTTCCAGGAAAATGCTTGACAGCATGTTGTAAATCCACATGTTCATGGTTCCATCGTGTTGTATATTAACTTCTGATCAAAACAAACTGCTAGCTATATAGATCAGAACTATAAATCCACCTGATAATGTTTATAGCTAATTAAGTACACTGTTCTTAATTATAAAGATTAGAGTACATTGTTTACTCAGTTGTGTACCCTCTCTTATTAGTGATATTTTTACCATAATCCCAATAATATCTCTCGACATTTGGCCAGCTTAGGAGATAGAAGTTAGTTTGAAATCCATATGCTAAGTTAACACTTCCAAGTAATCTTTATGATAAAAAATCTAATAATAAATGAAGAATTAAAAAATAATAAAAATAGATATATTAGCTTATGAACATTGTGTGTTGTTGAGCATGACCAGTTATGTTAGAGAAGTGGCATTGACATTTGAAATCTGACTAGCAATTGGGGTCTTTGATCTTTCATATGTAGGACTCAGATGATAAAAAAAAGTTGCTTAATAACTTGTGTTTTGGTTGTGCTTTCTTCTTCAAACAAATTGCCCCCTCCCTCATCAGTAAAACAATTGAATATTATTGGTTTTCCACAACATTAATATCCCAGATTGCATAGTGTAACTTTTTAACCTGATTATCATTAATGTTTTATAGCAATACTCATAAACGGTTTGATGTTTGGTAACACCCTTGGAATTTAAGGTCACTTTTCACCTTCAATATTAGGTACAGTAGACTTCATAGTTTGTTGCAAATTCTTATTGTCTTGAGACTGCTTATTTTTTTTAGGTGATTGTGCACTGGGGTAGTAGAAACTACTTTCCCTCTGCCACCAGATGAAATTAACATTTTATGTAGTCCTCACTTCACTTTAAAATCACAAACAGAAGTTTTTTTTAAAGATCACTTGCGATAATCAGTGAACACAGAGGTTATCATAGAATCTGTCTTAATATTACTGATAACAATCAACAGCTAAGTCAGAGAATTGGAGGTTATTGTGTGGATTGCAAATGACAGAACTGTACATGACGTGTAGGCTACTGACTACATGTATTGCTAAGTCAACACCTACTAACATGTTGCAGTTTGTATATACATATATTGCAGGGCATGCTATAGATTGAGATTTAAAGAAGTATTAGACAGGTACAAAAAAAACTAAACTGTTTATAAAACTTTCATTTTTGTAGAAAAATATTATTGGCACTATACCATCTCACTACAATATATGTCTGTTCACCTGGAATTATTAAATGATCATTTATTATGTATTCATATTGTATCCTGGTCTATCTGTAATTTCTCACCTTTTATCGAAACTTCATATTTACTTTTATATTGGCTTCTATGCTTCATATTTGCAGCATCCTGTAAAGCTAATAGAACCTTTTGTTTAAATATATATATATATTAGGTATTTGATGACCAAATATTTGTTTTGTTTAGCTAAAGGAATTGACTGGATATTTAGTATCTGGCCATCCATTACATCTCTTCTTGATGTTTAACTTGAGTGATTAAATAAGTTAAGTAACTTTTTCAGTGTCTGTCTTCCCCTATGTAATGGCCAGTGTCCCCCCCCCCAATAAAAAACAAATACATGAAACTGCAAAATTCCAGTTTAAGACATTTCTCATAATACCTTATATGAATATATTTCTCAGCTTTTTGCTCATCCCTTTACCATTAAGGCTTTTTATATCCAAAAAAAGAAATGGTAGTCATAAGTTATCTATTTATTCTGACTTTGCAAGCATAGTGACCAGGGCTAGTTTTAGTACTATTTACACACTAAGCTAAATGTGATTTTGTTTTGTGTTTGAGTGACCAGTCTGATTCAACACTATATTGGTTGGAGGCTAAGGTTCTTCTATATTGAAGACTTGTCATCTTGTAAATGGCTGATATAACTTGTATTTCAACCAGAACTTTGAATGTTATGGTCAAGCTGGCCTAATGACCAGATGGTAATGAGCAAGAGGCCTTATTTGTTACAGCATATAACAAACATGGTAAAATTGAAATGCTGTTATACACTCTTCTAACAAGTACAGGAAACTTATTTTTAGGTCAGTGAGGAATGGTTGAATATTATCAGTCTTATTGTTATTTCACAGATTATTAAGAATTTTGTTAAACAGATTATAAGAATGTTAAAAATCTGATGTGGGATCAATAATGGACCTGCATGGTTATATTAGTGAAAGTGATTGTAATCAGAAAACATTAAATCTACTTGGTAAATTTAATGTTATTTATCATGTAGTTGGATCCACTAGCCTCTGTTAACAATATTTTTGATCATAAGGTTGAATACATTTATTGATTTCTGAGAGTCAAAACTTTGTATTATCAGTGATTATAGTGTGTTTTGATAAACCTAAGATATATTCATGTATGTATAGGAAATGTATTTTGTAGGTCATGCACTTTTCTCTCAGAATGCTAGAAGATAAGAGCTTAAAGGCTGTGGTCAGGGTGATATCTCTTCATGAGGCACAGTTTGCAGTTTCTAACCTTCACGGCCTCAAGATTGGCTCAAGACAGATCTTGTTAAGTTACAAGTCAGGTGATAGCAAACCTCCTTTGCAGGTGTTGTGGTAATTATGAAACTTGGTTTGAATTTATTCAGCTAAATTTTAACATAATCTTTGGTTAAAATTCAGCAATATTCACTAATGTTTAATTGATTCATTTTGTGGATTGTTACCTTCTTAAAAGAGCATGAGTAAACCCACTAAGGTGCTCAGAAAGTCCTTTAAAATCTATGTTTTCACATATAATTAGTTTGAAAAACACTGTACAATGCATTTCAAGATTGTTGATGTTTCTTTCACATTTTTTCAGTGTTATGAAGTGAAATAATTCCTACCCTGAATCCCATGTTAATAGATTATTAACAGTATTTTTCAATGTTTTCATTGTGTTAATGATAACTAATATTAAACCTGCAGGCCTAATACATCTTGATTTTAAATTTTGTATTTGTTGTGTCCTGTTTCCCAAGATATTTGTCTCTGTATATCTACATGTATCATATTTTATGATAATTGCATGATGGTAGAGAAATAATCTAGGCAGTGAGAACTGATTCGGTAATGCCATTCTTAAAATATATACATACAAAGACCCTCACATGCACTCACACAATATTTGGTTGAACTTTAGCAGGCTTTAAAAAACTTGAATATCTTCATATCTAACTGTTGAATACGTTCCAAGTGTATTGTAAAAATACAGGTTCTAATCACATTTTCAATACTTTCAAGACAAGTTTTGATGCTATTTTCATTAATGGCAGTTTTATTTGGAAGTGATTATTTCAAAATATTGATTTTGAATGACATAATGATGTTTTTTGTGCAGGTGCTTATTTTAATGTATCATTAGCACACCTTGCTTAAAACAAAGAATAATCAGTTTGTAATATTATAGATATGTCAGGGTAAAATCCACTGTTATAAAATAATGTCAGTCTCATCCGTTCAGTTCACTGTTATACAAATCAGGTGTCTGATGGTTACTTGTGATTTGAAATGTAAATGATTGCTAAGTTAGATTACACTCATAAACATTTGGTTGAGGTGGTTTAACATCTTTACAGTTATGGATATTTCACTTCAGTTGGAGCATAGTCACTACAAATAAGAAGGGGAACCTAGTAACCCTGGTTACATGGTCGAGGTGGTTTTACATCTTTACAGTTAAGAATGTTTCACTTCAGTTGGAGCATAGTCACTACAAATAAGAAGGGGAACCTAGTAACC